TGGGTATATAGTCCTTTTCTTAGTTCTTCTCTATCATTAAAAAAATCTCATGATTTCGACCATGTCAAAACTCATTTTGTAAAAAGATCTTAAGGTTCCTTATCGGCTTTTGTTATTTACCTTTCATAGAAATACAAATCTGATACGCTACTTACGTCGGTAGTTTGTGCATACATTTTTATGTGATAAGGTATTTATTATGAAATACTTGCAATTTCTGAGTGGCAAGGCCGATCAGCAGTGTGCAAGTTAATGATGAAGCCCTCTTCACGTGCCATCGGCTACTATTAAACATATTTGCTTCTGACTGTACATATTTTTTTTTACGTAGCGATATTAACACTCATATATCAACATTCTTTAGACAGATGTATAAAAGGGTAGTTGGGTTTTAGGTAGTAAGTTGACTAGACTTCTGTTGGCTGTTAGTATTTATTGATTAACTTTATTGATTGTTATGCGTTTTGACGGGTCCGTTGGTCTAGTGGTAGCTAATAATCAACGGGTGAGTTCGATCCCCACCCGTTGATTACAACGGGTTATGTTTCGAATCAATTTAATATTTTTCAGAAGCATGTTGGACTTTGGAAATCTAAATATTAAATGAGTTGTAGAGATATTGAAAAACTCAAACGGGTCGCGAACCACCGCCCACAGATAAAAATATGTGAATTTCAATCACATTTCGGTTTCAGTCTGTGGATTTCCGAATATCCAAAATAGGTCCCCGGCGCGTATTTATGAGATGTTATTTGGCTATGGTATTTCACCTTCCATCAAGTGGACCCCTTGCTCGTCTGTTCTCTTCTACCATGTAAAAATGCAATTGGAGATCTTAATATTAACAAGCAATCTCTTCCAAACTCCAGCCTCTTATTATGTTTTCCTTCAAAACCCTTAATTATTAACTTACGGAGTCATCAATATTACTATAACATCATACAATTCGTGTATTACCTTTTACCTAACTTAAACAAGATATATTTGAAGATCCTATCCAATATAAAGGAACTCGCAAACGTTTATCAGTTAAAACTTAACAAGCAAAGAACGTGCAGTTAAACCCGTCGCTTGTACAAGATAAAATATAAAGTTTTATTCGAATTGTTTACAAATATGTCGTAGCTACAATTTGAAGTTCTGGCAATTTTCCAGCGTTGACATCCTAAAGCTTACTTGACGATCCGATATAAAAAATGCACATCTCTTCAGAAAAAGCGGCCAGTTGCGAGTCATGGCGCGCACAAAGGGTTCCGTATGAGTAAAATGTAAAACAAAATCACGTGTGTTGTGTGGGAAGCCTCTTCTACATTATTTTTATCTTTTAATATCTTATCACGGTTCATAAGATATAGGTATAAGGGAAATCTAGAAATAGATGTATATTAGACTTGCTGAGTCAGCGACTTCGTCCGCGTAGAATAGTTATTTTGGTATCAAAATTTGTTTTTGCTAACTTCGTGTTCACATCTTTAAATACAAGGTGTTCCCCACGACGTCGTCCCGTCGTTCTTGCATGTTTATCTTAAAATATAGACATACACTGTCGCGGACATTTTTTAGTTCATATAAAGAGGAATCATTCTTTCATTGATATTTTTTGGATATCTTGAACAGCTTTTGCAGCATACGCAACGGAAGCCCATAAGGATGAATCATGTTCCCCGTTTGTTTCATATTTCCAAAAATTGAAAATTCAAATTTAAACAAACTCTTCAGCTTTATATCTTAGTATAGATGAATACATAAGTCGCGTTTCAATCTTTTTAATAAAACGTATAAGCAGATATAAGTTAAGTTAAGTTCGCTTCTTGTAAGATAAATCTATGCTTTATTTGAGGTTAATTACCGATTAACCTCCGGTCAACAAGGATGCCATCTGCAAAGCGTGATAACATATGCCGACTTCTGTGACTAGGTTTATATGAAACTATATACTAATATATAAAGCTGAAGAGGGTTTGTTTGTTTGAACGCGCTAATCTCAGGAACTACTGGTTCGAATTCAAAAAATATGTCTGTGTTGGTTAGAGCATTTATTGAAGGCTAGGCTATAATCATCGTAATGCGACTTATAGGAGCGGAGAAATAGGGTAAAAAGTTGAAAAAAAACGTAAGCTAAAGCGATTCAATACAGAAATATGTATTAAAGAATGATGCCTCTTGAAATAATTAATAAAAATCCGCGACACTGTATATGTCTATCTTTTAGGATCGAATTGCGAGAACGATGAGACGCGATCGACATCGTGGGCAATAGCTTAAATCTATAAAGATGAATAGGAGGTTTGCAAACCAAATATTGGTGCCCAAAATAACTATTTTACGCGGAAGAAGTCGCTAACATAATTCGACATATGTCCTTTTTTTGAGAATCGCCGCCGAGGTCAATACTGATCGTAAGCCAGTCGGTACAGCATCAATAGGGTATCAAATCCGCAAAGGTAAATTATTATTATTGAGTCGTCGTATTTTGAATTGCTCTCGATCTAGTAATTATTTCTTCTGCTTTGTGGTATTAATTCTTGGTACGTTGAACAGTTGTATCATACAGATGTATAAATCAGTTTGACCTAATAACTTTATAAGAGATATCTTTGAAAAAATTTATTGTACAATAATGTTATAAATTATTACATTTATTTCTTACTAAATAAATACGTTTATTTCTTAGAACAAAGAGGTTCTATTTATCTTTATAACCTCACCGTGTTATACGCTAGTTATAAGAGGCCCTAGTTTCGAATCCCGGGGAAACAGAACGGTATCGTTTGAGCAGAACTCAGAAATCTGATTAACTAACCCGCTAAAAAAAATATCGAATCAAAATGCTTATATAATTATTTAAAAGGTTTTCAGTTATATATGAAGTTCGAAGAAGAATATTCAGTTTCTTTTTTTTAATTCCTTTAAATTAAAATTTGTATTTAGATCTGTTCAAAATCACAAATTTAAATTTTGAAACCACTTAACTATGTGTACTTATTTTAGTGTAGTGTTATATACTGACTGTCTGTCATAAGAGAACGTCCCAATTCACTCATACACCTAATAAGCTATTTTAGTAAGCAGTACCTTCAGGAGATAGTTTTATGATATTTATTATATTTCTAGATGAATATCCTTCAGCATACAACGCGAAAATATCGACGCCTTTGATGCCTTTTACGGAGCTCCGACGTAACGCTAAAAGAAAATGAAACGCGGTTGAGAGCCGTGTAAAGTTTATGAATGCCGCGGCCGTTGCGAGTTGCAAGATTGATGTATCGCACTTAACCCGCACGAGGCACAGTTTAACTACGATTATGTGCATTTTCTAATGCCAGCCTTCCGTAGACGGCATGTTGTGATAACACTGTTTATTTGGGTCACTAGTTATTTACCACGCTACGCTGACGTCTAAAAAGGAAGGGGTTGCAACGTTTTCGAAAATATGCTTCTTATGGAGACATTTCATGTATGACAGAAATTCACATAATATTTTCGGGGAGATATGTATGGTATATGTACTCCTGTTATACGTACACAATCAGTGTTGTAGTATAACTGTGCTGAAATTTATGCTGCACCAAACCCCATTCGGCATCACATTTCTTTTCAATTTCATCGCATCTTGTTTAGATTATATAGGCTGGTATACCCTCATGCGATAGCCGTCCTTTTCTATCATAAAAAAATCTCTTTGTATTATTTAAAAATCGAAAATAAATTGAAAAAATTTTTGACTCGGCAGGACTTGAACCGGCATCGTCAGCGTTCCCTGCTATTGCTCTTAGTATTAATTATATTATTGTATTTACATTTATTTCTACTACTACTAATGGTTGCATTAAATGAATACTAAATAAAGATATTTATTATTATTATTATAAATAATATTAAAATACATACAAGCATAATTCAAAAATACACACGTAATATAAATTCTTTACATAATCCAATATTTACGATATCAATAGTTGTAATTGTTGTTGAATATAAAATTATTTAATAACATAAATGTGAGGTATGGTGAGGCATCAGTACAGCATTTGTGAAAACCTCCTCGAGTTGTTGTCACAATTGTATTTTGCAGTTAATGGAACTGGCCTACGTTTGCTTTTAAGTCGACGCACCTCTTTGTGAACGGACCGCTTCTTTAAGCGGGATCCAGGAAGTGAGTATCTGTGATCGTACAGATTAAATCATTTTCCGTCGATAATTATTACAGTCTGTAGTAAAATCTACGCTGCGTCTGTCATTAATTAATAAACTTTATAGATATTTTTATAACATTTTATTATATTAGTACAAAATTAAAATCAGATATACTTCGCGATCGACAGATGATATAAGCATCGATCTATAAAGAGAATTATAGTAGCAAGAATAATGCACATTGGCAGTTGTTCTTTTGGCAAAGTAAATACTGTCTTAGTTTCTTATGATTATAGGAACTTTTACTACATTATAAACACTGACAGATTACACGTCCGAAGTTCATAGAATTTCGTCCGTAATGCCGAGTCCAGCCAGTAAGGAGGACAATGAGGTAGATGTACAAAGAAATTTTAATATCTTCATTGTCTCCCAAGTTATTAATATTGTCTTTAAAACAATGTCGTTCTTACTATTGTTGTCCCATTCAGAAACATTCAACGGGTGTTATAAATGCTTATCTAACAGATTATATAGTATTCAATAAGTAATGTATAAACTTATTTTGGCTAATTGTAGTTCATAGTAATTACCTACGTATTAAGTAAATATTATAAAGAAACCATTATTTCATTAGCCTTTGGCAATTTATTATAAAAAACAACAAAATATGCACTGTTTTATTAATACATAATTAATTGTTATTATAAAATGGTCATTTTCTATTTTTTGAATTTCCGTTTCCATTTTTAAAATAGCATCACATCCTTTTCGAATTTTCGGAAAGGTGCGGAAGTGCGTGTACAAAAGTGTGTAAAAATTAAAGTTAATTAGTTTCAACGATTTATTGTAACGAAAATAACATGGATACACAATCTAGATTGCTTTCAGAGTGGTACGCAGATTGGGACTCCATCAATGAAGCTTTATGGGTATTTATAAAACGTTACAATTATGTAGTTTGATTTTTTCAAGTTAGAGTTTTGTTAACAATGGACGTTTTCCAAAACTTGTAGTAAACGCCTAATTAATAGCTAAACGAATTTTGTTAGTAACTTACTTAATTTAATGCAATAGAATTAGGGATTTTTTCATGTCACCCCTAACTAGGGGATGATCTTACGCCAATAAATTTATAAAATAGCTTAACCCTACTCACTTAAAATTACTATTAAAACTAATTCCATTCATACAATAATGTGGCTCAGTTAATTAAAGCCCTCTAGTGACTGAGTCTAACATCTCGAATGTAGGTTGCTAGCATTTTCCTCGTTTTTCTTCACAGGTTGCTGTCGTTATGCATAAAATAGATGGCGCTACAAGACCGACAGATTTAGAATTTTACAAATAATACCATTTAAATCTTTAACTGTTATGTTGACGAGTCCGTTAGTATCATATTATATCACTTCTCTCTATAAAAGAAATATTAGAATAAATAGGAGTAGGTACTATTACGTGTAAAAATTAAAAGAACCGCGAAAGCCAGTGAATATTATGTACATACTTATTATTATAACCCCTTATTTAAAATTGAACTTCTAAATTATGTCAGTACATCTTAATTATAATATATTATATTAACCTGAGACAATTTTACAGACCCTACTTTAAATATTGTTTATAGATGATAGGAATTTGTATCTTCGAGTAAAATCATATGAAAAGAAGAAAAAAAAGCTCGTTCTTTAAAAATTAAAAAAAAATACCTAAGTAGTACGTACTGATTTTAACGTTGATAAAATTGTATATAAAGCACAGATTATAAATTGTATAGAAAAATTGTACAGGTAAAAATAAAAGTAAAAAATTTAGTATTATTCGCCGTTTTATATTTATACAAGTTTGTACGGGTTTGTACCGGTTCTTTGTTAAGCTTTACTGGCTTTACTGACCTACGTCTATGTATTTAAATGATATAAAAATATACTATCCAATACTTAATTTGATTAAGTAAAAATATATCCTTATAAATGATCTACCATGGTTAAGATACTAATTGTATATTTAAAAAACTGAAAATAATTATTATGATGCTGGGGTCCACGAATTTACGAAGCCCGGGAATGATTCATTGATCCGAAGGCAATCGGGAGCTAGACAAGGAGTAACCAAGGTTTTAACCTTCTCTTTCACTCATTGTTATTTTTTGAATGCCGAATTTAATTTTCTAATATCTATTTTGAATAATATTTGATATAGGAAAATTGTCTTGCGTTAATGTTGGTACCTACTTATTATTTACTTAATTCTTTTTTGCCGCTCACTTGCTAACGTTGAGTTGAATTATAAGGATTTTAATATTCGTAGTTAAAAATATAATATAAAAAACAATAAAGAGTTTGTCAAGTCCACCAGTCACTGATAAGTCGAAACACGAAAGTCAAAACTGACTTCAAGCTTGGGAGGTGAGCTAAAATTAAGCCCCGAAGAGTAATTCTTGAATAGGTTAAAAAGAGATAGATGGATATTGTTTATTCTATCATTCGCCGAACCCTTGTTAAATGTTTCTATCTCGCTCACGCAAGTTGTTGATTGAATCGCCACTCACCACGCGTACCTCTCCCCGCTCCGTCTGTATAGTCCGTTCACCGCAGTGTTGCCAGAGTTTCAGTAATTACCTGATTTCATAACTATTAGCGCATAATTCTATTCTAATATTACACAATTATAATGAAGCCAAGGATGTAGAAATTTAACGAATCATTCTACTTCAAAATATAAATTCACAAAATAGGATACAAAATTACAGATTACATATTTCCATTGTTGTTAAAAAATCAAGTCTGCTCTAGAGTAGTTGAGTGAAAGTGAGAATTTTTTGTTACCTCTATACGGTTCTAAACATGTTGAATAATTATAATAATTAAATACTAATGGTAGAATGGTAAATATTAAAATGGATTGTGGCATCTTCGAAAATAAAATTGGCAACACTGGTTCACCGTTCACCGTTGTTGCACATCGACGTTAACCGCTTTCAGAATTCAGTGCTATAGCGCGTTTCTCGGCGCTATATCTACATAACCTTACATTTTGGAAGTAGTATTATATTTATTACTATCAAGTTTTAATATTAAAGAATACTCATGGTATTCGCGAATTTATAAGTTTTGTGGTGTGCAGTAAACGCCCAGTGCAAGGCGTAGCGTGGAGTGTATTTCTGTGCGAGATAAAGTTAACAAACGGCAAGCTGTGGGGTTCAGGGGCCTTTTTTTTGCCGCCGCAGGGGATGTACTATCCTGTGAGTAGAGCTGTTTCTATTCTTAATTTGTAATAATAAAATTACGTCTTTGTTAATGTCGGTCGTCGTAAGGTTAAGCAGAGTTCAAGACTCCGGTCAGGAAATAACTTCGCTTTGTAATCATGTACGCTCTGTCGCGACTCACTACGCATGGCGTTATTAACAATAAAAATAATATGATGCTCGTCAGATGACGCCGCGGGATTGTAAGATGGAATCTTATATATTATATTTTTCATATTTTTTTAAGATCCATAAACTGAGTATTCTTAAAGCAAATTAGTATAAACAGTTTCTTCGAAGTCAAATTTAAAAATAATTTTACTAAATCACAAATGTATAACATGAATCTCAATTTTTGTAACAAGACCAGAGAAGTTAACTATTGAATATTTGAAAAACTACCCTTTATATTATTTTTGTGAACTGTCAATGTTATTAAACCTAGTAACAAACAACAACATTTATAAATCATTATAATATTACTGTTTTCCTCATGATAATTTGGAGAAGCCTTGATTTGTCAAGATGATAGGCAATCACTAAATTCTAAATATAGATTTTTTCTACAATGAACCTAATATTGATTTATATTTTACAATATAAAATAATTTAACACCTTTATCCCCAAATAATAATTAAAAACTTGTCTACTAAAATAATTTCTTTCTTCAATATACAATATTTAAGTAAACTTTTATTACATTTGTCCCATGTGTCCAAATTTAAACTATCCACACCGCTAAGAAATTAACAGGCTTCATGTTTTTAAACTCAATATGGGGAAGCATTCTTTTTTACCTTCTTTTCTCTAGGTAATTATGAAATTTGACTTAATGCTTAGCCGTCAATTGCCTTATAAAGTCAGGTTTTTTTTATAGATAGATTGCTGAATATGGCTTACACAAAAAACGCAAAAATTTTGAGTTGGAATTTCTGTCTTGATTCAGTATTATTCAGAAGCTGTAGTAATGATATTGTACATATGTATTCCTCTGAATGTAACAGTAAAGTTTTCAATCATGATTGCGATACAAGGGATGTGCTCAGGTGCATTTGATACAGGATAAAGGAAATTGAGAGTGAAGTGGGTGTAAAGTTGTGTGTGTTGATTATTCTCAAACAAGTATGTAACATGAATGCTGTTACTCTAGATTGTATTGATAGTTTAAGTGAATTGAATTTGTTTTTTTTTTCACATTCTCTTAGCAGTAATTGAAAGCTTTGTTTACTTGACTTAGTTTTTATAAAAGGTATGTGGGTACTTACATAAAAAATTTACCTTAGAGCATACCAACATGGCAACACATAATAAGACTAATGGCAGAAGATATAGGTTTTTTAATCAATTATTGCCCTCCAACGTCACTGTGTTTTCGCTTATAATAAAATGTAAAAAGTACTATGCCAGTTCCATTTTATTGTACACCCTTAATTTAATAAAATTTAAATTGCTTTTCTTTGTAAAAGATGTGTTTTATGGCCCTTTTTGTATGGCTTGAGCCATATGTGTGCTTTAACTATAGATCCTTCTTGGTTGGTTAGTTGTGATGTTCAACATAGTATTCTCAATGCTACAGTAGAGAGTAGGTACAGAAATGTAGTTTCGCCAAAGGGTTGATTATGGGAACCCGTTCAACGATTCAAGGTGAACACGTTAAGCAGACGATAATATGAACGAATTATTCACGACGCGCCCTTTGTTCACCATTCCACGTTTATGAATTTAACTTTTGCGGGAACGGTACCTGCTAAGGGGCGCAGGTAACCAAATAGCTGCCGAATTCCAAGAAAATCGGTTTACAGCCTATTCAGTTTTTATGTAATACTTCCGTAGTGTTATCTATTGACCGTCATAATTATGCCTCATTATGCACAAAAGTCCCTGACCCAGAACAAACAAAGGCCTTTAAACAAATTAGATAGATATGCCATTCGCTTAAGGCTCTTACGCTGGTTAAAAAATAAAATAAACTGTGAATGTTTCCACTCGCAATTAGATAGATTTCATACAATGCACACAAAAGAATTCGTGACCCATATTTATTCAAAATATTTTTTGTTTTTCATACACGTAAAGAGTGAAAGAATTCAAAGAGATGCGGGTACTTGCATATTATCTTAACTATATGATTAACGGCGATATCATTCAGTATTTATGCGTTTAATTATTAAAATATTTAAATTCGGTTTAATACAAACGCGTAATATAATAACTATATTGCATTTTATATGAGATACAGTACGTAATTAGAATTTAAATTTGCAAATTAATTAAACGAGCCTTCGTATAATATTAATGTTTCCTTTTGCGTTTGACGATTGAAACTTGTTAAACTGACTTTTACTATCGTAACACTTACCTCTTCCAGTTGTTCCTATATCTGTTATAAGATGATTTTTTAAATAAGCTGCAAGTAATATTATAAAACTACTAAACCAACAAATAAACTTGTTTTGTTCTTTGTATTAGGCAGCTGTTTCTTATATCCTAATTTACTACTTGAAAAGATGAGAATAGGACGAACATTTTCATTGGGTAAATATCTACACGGGTTTTGTTGTGTCTATATTAACTCCTTTCTTTTTTGCAATACATATTTACAATGTATATACGATTCGCTTCCTTTGTGTTTCTGTAATGTAGTGTTTTGTAATATTCAAGAGTGTCCCTTTAAACAAAAACATGCTGATCTTTCACAATGTACTGGGTACTGGAATGAGAATGGCTTTTGTGCTATTTTAAGAGTACATCGAGGCAACGATTCATTTGTTTTCGGGTTCTTGACATGCATGGAGCAACAAAGTTTTACTACTTTCCACCACTATAAAACAATAATTTTGGTGCCGTTTGTTGTAGCCGTTGTAGCTTTAAACAAATTTTAATAGAATGATATATGTTATGCTAATATAACATACACCTAGAATTCGGTTAACCGTTATATTTCTTTGCGTATTTATTAATAAACACTTAGGTCCGCCTCGCTAGTGAGGGCTGTTGATTTCATCCAGGGTTCTAAATCTAAAACCCGGAAACCATGTGTATAATATTTCTCTGTATATTTTAAATACCAGCCCTCCATGTAGGACGTATCACCAGCTTTGTGCATATTTGTGAGGAGACGCATGCCCAGCCGTAGGACAGGTAGAAAGGGGCGATTAATTTATTGGAAGCTGTATTTATCGTTACTTGTATTGGAAAATTCTTTTAAGCAAATTGGCTTTGCTCCAAGAATGCGCATATTGCTTGAGTTAAGAACTATATTATAATTTAATCCATGTCATTGTCAACACTAACAAGTATCGTGCAAGCGCCAAATGATGAATATCAAATTATTATTACACACTCAGGTTTATTATAGTTTATATCAATACTAGGCTTTGCCGTCGACGTCAGTCGTACGCTAAGTTAAAATACAAAGGAGTACAAAATGATGTCCATAGTTAACGTGAGTCGTACACTTTTAAATAAAACTCTATAACGGTTTAAAACTCGATATTTATTAGTTATAACGATGGAACAGATGGCGCTAGCGTAGCAGTTTTTACTTTGACATTAAAGACATCCGCAATCTTTAGTCTAACGGTGCAAAGCATCCGAAATGTCGGTCCGTAGTTAAAATAATTTTCAAATAATTTTAACCAATTTATATCGCGTTTAAAACCATAAAAGTGTCTTATTTAAAAGAGTAAGACGTACAAGAAGGCCACGGGATACCGTTCAGAAATTGACTTTCTCTCTTATAATAGACTACAACTTCAGAACCTGAAACCCAAAATTGAAAAAAAGACAAACACATTTCTTATAATATTTGATATAGAAAAAGAAAATTTTTAATAAAAAAAAAGAACCCCAACTACTACGTAGTGTGAAATGCATAAGACAATATAGGAGATCAATAAGTCTGCTACTTATTAGGTAGAAAGGTAGAAGCTTTTTCTTCCCACTGTAGACCGTAATACATTACATGTTCTTGATACATAAGGACATTGTGTGTTGATTGTTGTTTACGAAGAGATAACGAGGTCGCCCTATCAACAGATTGAGAATAATAATTAATGTTCCAATGTGTTTACTTGGAACAACTTATTTATTTGTCTCATTCAGTGCAATGATTGAATAAAATTCATTTCGTCAACTAAATAGGAGGTAAATCTACAAACGCGGTGTTTACATACGTATAACTAGTTTGGAAGTCATTAGCTAATCTTTTGGTAAATATAATCTTTGTTCACATTGATTATATGTATTATTTATTTCTATTTTTGTCGCAAGGGATTTTATGTAGATTATAGGAAAGTAATGGCTCTGGAAACATTTCACAGTGATACATTAAAGTACTTTTCAATTTAAAAATATGATTATGCGGGTGGGAATCGAACAATCAATGTAGGTTATTTTTTAATATTATTGGTTTATTAATTATTACATTGTCGCGTAATACACACACTCAAATAGGTAATGTACTTATTGTATTTAAGTAAAGACAATCATAATTAAGCTTAATTTATTTTAAAAGAGATAAAGAGATTTAGTGAAATCTTATGTCCTCCCGTGAGAATTGGCGCTAACAAAATATCTGTGTTCGATTCAATATATTGACAGGCAAGTAGTTGATCATACGTTTAATTTTTATTACTGAAAATTGCCTTTTTTAATTAGGGTATTAGAGTCCAGGACCTTGCCTTAAGGCCATGTAGTGAGTGTAGAGTAAGAAGTGTACATACATTGACTCACGGAACACGGTCTCAAGAAGTATTGGTGTTTTAAAATACGTCGGTATTTACGTGTGTGTAAACGCATATGTATATACACTCGTGCGTCTGTATTGAGTCATGAGAAGAAACTTAAAATAATTATTTAAAAAATTGCCCAAGCCCAATTCGGTTAAGGTATTGCTATTTACTAGTTGTATTTGAAGGCGAACCAGTTGGTAAATACTGAATACCTGTTGGCGAGTTTATTGTACGCAAGCGCATACCGAAGCAGCTGCACTGTGCAATACTTTACAATGAAACGGGCACATCCTTGTTTCTTACAATCATCACCCACGAAGGTGAAGAGACGGTTTATTGGGAAACTAATGCATCTTCAATTATAATCCAGCTCTTGAAATTTCCGTTTCGATAAATTTTCATTAAATTAGACCAAACCGATTACGCTTTAACCATTATCTCTCGAGAGCTGGATGCATCAATACATAAGGTTATATGTATTTATAACTGTCGGAGAATTTCCTCAAATCGTCCAATGCCACAAAAACATTAATGTCTTTAAATTATTGTCTGTAGTTTACCCGAGTTACGAATCACGCACTTTAATGGTTTAAATATAATTTGAGTATTGTTTATTACGATTTGACGTTTCTGATGCTTTTGCGCAGTGCTTCGTGACCTTTTTTCAAAAACAAATGAAACATCGTACATTAAAATATAAATGAGTCTAAAACCGTTGTATTTTGTTTAAATAATCTTTACTACAATTATTTAAAAAAAATGAATCCTGGAGACGATGTTTGAGGTAACGTCAATCGATCTTAAATAACCTTCAAAGTTCAAACAAATATCAAAGGTTATTATGACCTCTTAAATTTATTGCTTTCTACTATTAGCAGGTAATAAAACTATTGTCTAATTTTTAAACCGGTTAGAAATACCTTTATTGAAACTCTATCCAAACAAAAATACTGAATTATATTTTAAAGTTTTAGTTAAAAAAAATAGTAATATTGTTGTATTTACAGACAAAATTTACAGACGTAAGAAACTAAATCTTGAGTACTGTCTTCACACACTTCAACCGTTTAAAACGCGAAATATATTACTTTAATAAATTAATAAATTTCGCGTACATAGTAAAAGTGAGTGCCATTTAAATACACTAATTCTTTATTTATAGCCAGGAGATTAAAATCGATTGTTATACATAAGAACAGTATTGAGACACCTGTGGAAAAAGTTAAAAAATAATAAATAAATAATAAGTATTTATTTAAACTAAAAATGTCTGAATTTTACTCGTACGATCTTTACCAAACCTTTATTCAAAAGTTAATAATAATATATTCCAAAGCATTTGATCAGATCGAGACCCGATCCGAAGTTGGCACATGAAAAATTTTTGAGCTTTTGCCAGCGCTGCTCGGATAGCGAAGCGAATGTCGCGACACGCGGTGTATCTATACGAGTAGGAGGTGGAATCTGCTACTGTTTGCTAAGAGTTATTGAATTGATTGACTGATCTATAATTACGTATTATAAGTAGGGTGTACTTACCATTAGGTTTGTTTAAATACGAATACCTATATGTAGATTATTTCGCACCTAAGTATAAATATACCCGAACACAGATACATGAAATAATTATCACTAATCAAAAGAACTTTAAAAATACTTTCCCTTGTGCATGGACTTCACTCATGTATTACTCTAACACCAATGTTGCTACGGCGTCTTTCACAAATATAATTGATTAAATTAATCTCGCAAAGGCTATGCAGACAAGAGGAATATAATAAGTTTCTTCTATCCGTCCTAAGTTCTTTATCTTTATATCTAGTTTATGTAACATAGAAAATGTGAAACTTAAAAAAGTCCATTCTTCTATCATGTTATTTCAAGTTCAGTATAGTAAACTATAATGGAAATATTAATTTCCTTGTTCGAGGAAAAATTAGGTACCCCAGCTTTTGTATGTTTTAGCTTAAATTAAAGCTAACTTTTCATTTTTTTTTGCAGGTGAGTAACGGCAATGTACTCGACACAGGAACACCAACCCTACTGGTAATTTAATTTTGATCATTTTTTAGATTAAGTAATTATTATACACATCTTTATTTAATACTCATCACCCATCTGTCAGAAAAGCAATATTTATTGTATAGGTTTATAAGATAAAATTAATACTCGTTAACCATATAAAGATAAACGCCGGTCGAAGCAAGGGAGCGTTGAAACGCTCCGAACTTTTAATATCTTTTGTAATACGTCGATAAAAGTGCCAAAGTAACCCACGGATAATGCAAATTAATTAATGAACTACGCTCATAAATGTTTTCACTAATAATATTCTGTTATGATCCGTTGTTTAACTTTCCGAGACGGCTTGTTCCGCTTTGGAGTTATTAATTAAAAAGTAATTTACGCCCGGCCTGGCCGAGATAACATTTTTTGTAAAAGGGTCCATCGGCAACTTTGTACGTAATACATAAATGAAGTAGCGTGTGCTACATTTTTATTATCTTTTGTAGACAGAGCTCCGACAACAGAAAACAAAGTCTTTGAACCAAAGACCTCACTGTCATCTTTAAGAGCGTGGAGAATTAAAAGAACTTTCTAAATGGGTCATATCTACCAGTAGACAAGATGTCACAAGCAAAGCTATATTCTTTTATCTGCATTATCCATTGAGCTATATTATGGTTCCACTTTAATGTGGTGTTTTAAGAAATTTGTTATTTAATTTAACATTTATATTTTAAGGATGTGTATTTTTCACATTTTACGCTACAATCTCAAAGACACCGACACCGAAATCCTATGGAGGTGATTTTAGATGAATTTTATTATGTTCCTCTTTTTTCTAATTGTCTAACTGCTGCCACTGGGTCGTGGAGGTAGACGAGACAATTTCGGGAAGAGTTGTAACGTTTGAAAGTTGTTACGATCGAAGTACCATTAAGGCAAGGCCTCTCCTGGATCGGTGCCAGAGTTGAGGTATTATTAGCACGTCGACAGCGTTCGAGTTAATCAAGCTCAAATAAGATCGATAATTCCCGTAGGTGACGGTCTGGGGAGTCCGAGCGAGCGCTGCCCGCGCCCGTTTTGTTTGGGTAAACACATCTAACGGAGAACGTATTAGGCTTTTTGTTTATCTTTTGACTGCAGCTTCATTGATTTACAGTTAATGATAGGTTTAGTTGTTACGGCGGTTTATAGGGTTCATGTAAATCACACCAACTTTTCTCTAAACGGAACACTTAACGTACGATACCCTAATAACGTACCCTGGCAATAACATTACCTACACGTATATATTTAGTGGTATTTTAAGGTATTATATTGCTAATTTCAAAATTATTTTTACATAAGTGCGGTTCATACATTACACCTTTCGCTCGCGTCGTCGTCTCCGGGGAAGTATTTTCGGCAGTATGTCAATTTTATGCGGATACAAGATTTTTATATAGTCATATGACTGTTTTCCTTTCTGGTATCTGATTTCATGATGATTAAACAAGCCTGTATGTTGTAAACCCCCACAAAGGTCCCTGTTAGGGGATTAACGTGTACATACAGACAGACACATAAGATAAAACTATTATTTTATCTTAATTGTATGTATGTACATATGCTGTATGTATGTTGGTCTTTTGGTTGTCTGTCTGTAAATTGGTATTTTAGTTTAAAAAGTAGACCGAGAAAAGAAATTCCATATCAAGAAAAGTTTTCAATTGCGAGCTACAATACATAAGTAAACGGACTTGTTCTGTGTGAGAACACCATTCTTAGAAGTTAGAAGCCGGTACCGCAGCGCCCCACTGACACCATGAAGTGTGCAGTTTCGCAAAAACGTTCGACCTCAATACAACCGCCAATCATTCACATGTCTTCCATCTATAACTACAGAACCAATGGAGCGTGATACATTATACGGCCCATATATGTAACGAGCAATAGTGTTTATGAAGCGACAACGTAATAACTGAAGAACACGAAGTTTTCAAACGATTTTGGTTCTACTTTAAATATTACACTGTTAACGGTTTAGAACTCGAAATATATTACATTTTTTAACTACCCTTTCTTTAGATAGAATTGCAGAAGCTGAAGTCTTTTTTTATGTTTTTCTTTTAATTTAAATCTGCCCTATTTCATTTTAATAAGATTTACCAGTTATTACGAATTGTATGTTGACTAGTACTGGTTCAGAATTTAACGTTTAAAAAAGCTTAAATTTGTTTAAAAAATATGTATTTACTCTTCCCTTTGGCTAAAAGATAAAGGAATCTATCCTGATATATTAGACCAGTATCCCGGTCTGATGCGTCACGTCACGACACGACACGCTAGACAAATGTAAGTCCGCCTTTAGACGTCGCCGGGCAAAAAAAACATATTTAACGATTTCCGCCTCTAATGCATAATGAGTGAGTACCGGTGATTATTTTATTAATGATTACACTTTCAAATGATTTAATTACCATAGTCAATTGTCGTTCAATACAGAAATATAGCGTTAGCGTGACTAACGTATTTTGTATGTAAATACTGGAGAAATTCTCAGTCAAGGAACGTGCTATGCATACTTTTAAATACAAATGTATCAAGACCTTAATTTTAAATAATGAAATCTAACATACTAATTGTTACACGTTTTTTGTTAAATTCAGTGAAGACGTATTTAATATCTAAATTATTGATATTATGATAAGATGAATTTTACGAACCCGTTGGATATTTGGATGGTTGTAAAAAAAAAAATCATTTTCATATCACTATTAGAACCCAGAAATCAGTTTTAGACTCTTCTCCAGTATACAATAATTCGAATATCTGTTTTTTTAATACTTTGTATCGTAACATACCTACTTTTACTTCAATTCTGCAACTACCTTCAATCTTTTAATAAACTGATAGATTTTTTCAAACTAAGTTACACAAGATACATTACTATATGTAGATTAATATTTTAAAATGTTATATTAGAATCTATTGCGAAATTTAAAAGGGAGGTACTTTTCACGAGTGAATTAATGTTCGCGTGGCATATGCATTTTCGACGCTATTACACTAACGACAGCATGATTGATTACCACAGACGATGCTCGTCCGTATCTGAAAATTCCCTGTGAGTGAGCTTAAGTTATTTACCGAAACTTCGTCATATTGAATATTAATAATTCAGGTATCTATACTTTTTCTGTTGCATTGCACAGGCGAGCTTCTATTCAAAACTAGCTGTGTCAGCGACTTCGTCCGCGTAGAAAAGTTATTTTGGACTATTAAGACATTAATTTAAACTGTTATCTACTCACGGTGTCTGTGGCGTCCCGTCTTTCAAGTTTTTACATTCTTTAAAGAGGAATAATTGTGTTATAGTCTATAGCCTTCCTCGATAAATGCTATAACTAACACAAAAATAATTTATGAATTCGAACGTGTAGTTTCTGAGATTAACGTGTTCAAACATACACACAAACAAACTCTTCAGTTTTATATATTAGTATAGATAAAAGATAGTAGTAAGATAGTGCATTTGAAAACTTCTAAAATTTCACATGTTATCAGCATTGACATGGTTGACCTACCATGTCAATGGTTAGAGCAGCTGCACGGAATGCCGCTTCAAGTCCCGTCCATATCATATTTTTTTTTATTCAATTTTATAACATTACTAACGTACATAATATTTAGCTTGCGTAACGTAGATTAGGATCCGAATTCAAAAAGTGTAGGTAATTTAGTATACTTGCTAATTAATTTCAAATACACCTGCATCTTCATTTTATTAATAAAAATTTAAAATATTAAACCACTCGTTTCTCTTTAATAAGTTGTAAATATTTTTCAACGCAATATTATAGAAAAGGTTAACACAGCTCGTAGTGAAAAAGGAACACATAAAAGACCTAATTAACGGAAGCGGCGACCCATAACACGGCAGCTAGCTGTGGCACACGGGAATCGGGTGCAACCCCGGGAGATTGCCTCGCCCCAACTCACTTTCACATGTAAATATTTTCCTCTTTACCGTAATTAAATTGTATTTTGCTTTTCTTTAAAGCATAATGTAATAAATTGCGTTCTTTACCTTTTCTATCTACACAAGACATCTATCAATATTTAAAAATATATCTATTTATGAACGGTCAGGTTTGTCTGGTGTTCTATCCTTAGTCTCACAAATTTTAGTATATTATCACATTTGACTAGGAAAAATACGTTGTGAGAGAACCGAAAAAATGAGCGGGAGTAACATGTTATATATGTCTTATCCTAATATCAGGACCGACTCCCAGCAGCGGGAAATATAAGAGTATTAATAAATTTTATAGCTGCCAAACATTGCCGACAATCTTCCATTCACAATATATATGGTATAATTTTCTTTTCCCATGTTTTTATCTCTATCAGCCAGAAATCGCTTCAACTCTCCTTTTTTCCACTTACCTACTACTTTTCCGTCTACCGTGTACTAAATACTATTTCATAATAACTAGCTTCGCTGTACATAATTGCAACGGTTTATAAAATGTAAGCATATCAGAGTTTGACTTGAGCATTAAAAAAGTTTGATAAGCATTATCTAGGTTTTAAAAGCGCGCATCTAGTACTTGGGTTGTATTATAGGGTACCTGTGTAATGAGTTACTGATAAAATTGATGGTGGTCGAGTAGTAATGATAACGTGTAACGTAGATAGAATCTGAACATACCCTGTAAGTTTAACTTTTAAAATTCACTGTTTATTTTCTATACTAGTATTAGACTAGCTGACTAGGCAAACGTTATTTGCTATATGGGGTATTTTTTATAAGTAGACCGCTTCTCTCGCCCTATAGATAGAGATATAAAGGTATTGCATACAGAACGAATGGTTTTATGTTTGAATTCCGGGGAAACGTAATTTGTCAATTGGGCGTGATCAACATCTTGAAACAAATCTCTTATCAAATCATCTTAAAGAAAGAATGTATCTGCCCCATACCCTACGCTGGGGAAACGCGATTTTACATACATATATAATTAGACCCTATCGCGTCATAACATGAGGCTCGAACC